AAGATTTATTTATGAAAATTTATTTTGAATATTAAATCTCATCATTAATAATTAATTTATTGAAAACTAGTGAAAACAACATCGTTCGGTTATCATTTTATGTTTCCAGAGATGGAAACGAATGAAATAAAGAATGAAAAGTAAATAAATTTTCTCATTTTTGTTATCAGATTTCTGGCATTGAAAAATAAACAAGAAACAAATATAAATTATCTTTAGCATTTTTCTCTCGTTACGAGAGTTCCATCAAAGACGTGAAACTTCGGCCCCCTATGAATACCCGACAAATCCATAGGAGCAATTCCGACAAGCACATAGCCCTTCTAGTGGCTACAAAAGGGACTGCACTGAAATAACGACTGCAAAAATTTCAACCCAAACCATCTGAATCCAAATCTGCGTCTTTACCATCTTCATCGCTCTTAATTGGTTATGATCTTTAGCATTTTTTATGGCCACTAACCTCCTCTTCTTCACTATTTTTCTTAATTTAGAATTAGTTTTTACTTTTTAGTCAATAGCGACATTTCCATTGTGTTCCCTCCTTTTGTGCATCTTAGCATTGTTTTTTATTTATAAAGTGCATATTAGCATTGTTTGGTGACATGTTGAAGGCTTTGTTTCGCGTTGTTGATTTGTCGGATGCACTACTGAGTTCAATCATGACGATTGTTACTCTATTCACATCTCTTCATACATTGTTCAAACGAGGATATTTGATATTTTGGAATCTATGTTAAACTAATTCTACTCTTACAAAGTTCTCTGGAGAGCTCTGCAACTACAATTACTGCGCTATATCCATAGAGAATTCTTCATGGAAGGACAGTTCCGAAACTAGGAGTTACAGATAAAAAATAAAAGCGAGACATAGTTGTTTTGTTGATTTTCTGTTGTCTTCCTTCTTCTCTTCTTTTCCGATGTTTTAAGAAAAGTTCCTATGTAGCCACTGCAGTAACCATCTCGCCTTTGTCTCCCAAGTTCTCCACATCTCCTCAAAGTAGTTGTAGCGCTTCAGCTGCTCTGAATCTCTCTCTCCGCTCTTTTCAGATGAAACTCACTTACACATAACTTTTTGATTAAGTTAGGAACCACAATGTTCTCTCACAGCTGTTCGCCTCGTAGCCCAACCAATTCATTGTGCTTAATATGACTGTCAATCACAACGTTAATATGACTGTCATTAAGTTAAACCTCGTTGTTGTTGTTGTTACAGAACGTGATGAATGAATATGCAATCAAGCAGCTGACACAAAATCTAACTACAGGATTTTACCGCTTTTCTATACTGACACTCTGTTTGGGAAGAGGGGTAAATGGGAGGAGGGTGCAAATGTGAGGGGTAAACACAGTTTCCAACACATTTGCACCTGTTTGGTTAATTTGGAACAGTAGGGGGGTGCAAAACGAGAGTGCAAATTTACTGTTTCGGCTTACCCCCCGAATTGGGGTGCAAAGGAAGGAAGGAAGAGAGGGGGAGGGGGGAATTATGGAATTTTGTTTTTCTAATTGTGTTATATATAATTATATAATAATTAATATTATCAATTTCTTCTTTTATAAATATCATTAATGTAAACATTATTCGGGGTTGACCATTTGACTCTGGAAACTAGGGATGGCAAAAATATCCGTAACCGTGGATATCCACCCGAATCCGGCCTAATCGGGTAGGGTAAAACCCAAACCCGAAAGACATTTAGTGGGTACGGGTAAAACACGAACCCGAATATTGTGGATAATGGGTGGGCATGGATTTCTCACTATCCAACCCGAACCCGCCCGATTATACAAATGCATATGTATTTTCTCTAGATATAATCATTATTTTTCTCTTTTACATATTTTATATTTAGCATATAAGTATAATATTTTCATGAAATTGTGTTGTTTTAATTAATTTTCTTCATTCTAGTGAATGATTGTCGTACTTTTTCTCGTACGTAATGTGAGAATTCGTGTGAATGTTAACATATTGGTTGAAGTTATGAAGAGAAATGATTACCCATGGATAACCGTGGATACCCAAAACCCGAACGGGTATGGGCATGGTTTTGATTTTCTACCCGTTTCACATGTGGGTATGGGTATGGGTAAAACCCGAACTACTTTGGGTAGGGTAACGGATATGCAATATCCGCCCCCGACCCGACCCATTGCCATCCCTACTGGAAACAAGTTTATAAATGTTCGTCAAGTCAAATCTAGATCTCTTGGTTGAATCGAATTTGCATTGAAAATTAGATATACAAGGTGTTTGTGGAAAAGATAGAGAGAAATTGTTTGGTTAACTCATTTTATTTGACTAAATAGTTAAAACTTACAAATTCGAACGTGTTTGACTAAGTTTGACAATTTAAGATTAAACTAGACACGAAAACCCTATATAGGATGACCAGTTAGGAGTTGAGCTTCGAGTTTTGAGATCGCTCGATCAATGATTATTACAATTGTTATAATTAATTATTATTTGAGCATTATTATATAATAACTATTTTTAGTAAAGTATATTTATTATTATATAGTAATATTTATTTTATTATTTTATGATAATATTTATAATTTTAAAATCTATTTTATAATTTTAAAATCTATTTTAAAATAATATAATTACTTACTTTGCACTTTATTTGCACCCCCCTACTTTTTCATCCAAACAACAATTTACCCCTCCACTTACACCCCCCAGCAATTTGCACCCCCCAGCAATTTGCCCCTCAACTTGCACCCTCCTGCAATTTGCACCCCCTTTGTTGCCAAACAGAGCGTGAGTTACTGACACAAATATTAAGGAAAGATCTCGTATTGATATTGATAAACAAGCACATGCCTTTTCCTAAACCCACAGCCCAAAATGTTAAAGCAAGCCAAGCCGGTGACGGTGATGAGAATAATGTCTGTCTGTGTCTGAGATCATGTGGTCATTACGTATGTACATACGCACTCTCTTCCATAACCATAATGCATTTGTACGTTCCTCATTATTATTATTATTATTATTTTTTGGTTCCCCAATTCGAATCTCTCTAATACCGTTTCTTGCGAGGAACCCCAACCATCATGGTCAATGGTCATTGGACTATACTTTAGCTTGGAGATCAAGATTCCTTAGCCACAAAAATAAATGGATATATGGTTGGCTGTTGTTATGAATTAAATCGGTATGTTGACCAACGAGTGAAAGTCATGGGGTTTTTACACTTTCAATTTTTTGTACTCATTTTTACTATCTTACATTTTTGTTATGCAAAAGACCCTTTGACCTTTTTTGTTTAGGGGTTTTTTCCTCTAGACAAACTAAAATTAGATTTTCCTTTTTTGCAAATTAAGTAGTTAACACGAATTGTACAAGCGAAGCACGTAAATAAACATTTTTTTTGTTTGTTTGTTGATTAAACGCTCCTTACTAACAAGTAATAAGATGAAAAGTGAAAGCAAAAGAAATTCAGCATAATTGCTTCTGTTATCCTTGAGATGAATCGTAAAAGTGACATCCAGGAAGCTATACACGAACACTATTCATTAATCTTTCTCGGTTATGGATAAAATTGAAAGAATCAAAACCTCCCAATTACATAATATGAAGGATTATGCAACGTCATCGGATCCTTGGCCCAAATTGCTTACTGAGTCTTTGGGTTATAATTAATCGTGTAGTCGTGATTCCTTTTCATAATTAATGAAAGAATAGTCAATTGATGAGTAGTTAAATAGGGGTTATGTTATGATGAGAGTATTAAACTCCGACCGACAAATGTTATATTAGTTCGTCACCGTTGAGTTGCACCAACTTCTATATTGTGCGTTTGGTTGACTGTTAGTGCCCGTTGAAATGGAACTATTATAAATATAAAATGGCCAATAAATAAGTATTATATATTAAATAAATCAAAACCTGAAAAGGCTGGAATAAACAAAACAGGATAGGATATGATGATGATCCTCTCTTCTCTTCTTTCTTTCCCGCTCTCCCTTTTCTTCTCCCCCAAGTATTCAATATTATAACATACGTGGGTGGGAGATTTGATTTCATTGCAGTCGACCTGGCAGCAGAGCCAGGTTCATTGCATTTGCATCATTAATTCTAGTTTTTGGTTGGAACTAAGAGGCTGGATTATATTTTCATATTTATAATAATAATAATAATAATAATAAAAAATTGGAATCCTTCCACCCATTCAACGACAATTTAATTTGGGTCAGTCCAGATAGTTTTTAATAAATATATTTTAGAATGAGAGGTGCATTTTACCCTTTCTCCACTCCACTCTACTCTACTGACTCTAGTCTGTCTGTCTTACTTTTCAAATGAGAGGTATCCCTCCGGTGCCGGAGGTAGTAAATTGTCCATCGTTCGTGATCGACAATTCTCACAGAAGGAGGTAAATAGCTGACTATAAATCCACTTGCTTGATAATTCCATGGAATGTTACTTCATTCATTTCCTCATACTTCGATGCTCAAGCTTTCTTCCTTTTTTTAAACCCCACGCTTACAAATTGATGCTAGCGACCATCTCGTAATCTCATGGCGCCAAGCTAACAAGTTGTCAAAGATCGAAAGGTGCATCCAGGACGGTATCACCTTCAATCAATCATTTAACGAAATAAGTATAAAAATTAGCTTCTTCAGTTCAGTTGTCTTCAGCAGATAGATACCAACAAATAAACGAATCAAGAAGCTTCCAATTCATCACAACTCCACCACTCTGGAACTACGTACCCATTAATTCCAATCGCCTTTTATTTAACTGGATAAAGTCATAAAGGTACGTAGTACATATGCTATACGCTCCACTGCTACAAGTTTGAAGGGCTGAACATGGAAGATGGTCATACACCGAAAACAACAACACAACATGCTCTACTTAGCTCGCTATCAACTAGTTAGAGCTACCTACGCAGTAAGCAAGGCTATAGTATAGTATAGTATAGTATGGTTTAAAACTCAACAATGACCACTCTGCAACCAGATCGAGTGCTCTCCTCCTCCTAGTCCTATCATGCAGGAACCCATGCCGACGACGCATACACAATACGCCCCTTCCACCCCTGCAACAGCCATTCCCCATCTTCATCAACCACGAAATCTTCATGGTACTTGCCCCTCACCTTGCATTTCAGTTTCTTCATCAACAGAGGGTCTAATGGCAGCTGCTTCATCCCGGCTTTTCTGTTCCTCACCTGCCATTGCTTGTACGTCTCTGGTCTCTCCACCCTCTCTGAACCCTCACAAGCTATCACATTCATCACCTCCCGCCCATAGAACTCCTTCTCAAACTTCATCCGCATCTGGTCTTCACGACCCATGTTTGCATCCAACATGTCGAACAGCGCAGTGAAATGAAAGAGCGCCTCCCTGAACCTCGTAACGAAGAATGGGGCGTTGTACGATCCATTCACAATGGCATGCATGAACATATTGGGGTTAGCCTGTCTTACCAGTCTCAGAACAGCATCCCTCGGACTACTAACCACAACCGTCTCATCCAGGAGGTTCTTGCACCGGAACAGGCAATTCACTGCAACAAACTCGCCTTTGTTGATCTTAAGCTCATCGATCCGGATGTTCTCCCATTTCTTTGCAATGGCAATGTACTCGAATGGAACATTATGCCTCTCGCAGTACTTTGCTAATCTTCTCCCTGTCTCCTGAACTCTCTCTGCTGGCCTGAACCCACCCTGTGGAAGCTCTATCCCGGTAATCCGCAGCTTTGGAGGCCCACCGGGCCTTTTTGAAAGGCGATAAATCAGAGCTGGCCATTGAAAACCATACAAGATACCCAAGTCTACGATATGGATTACATCTGCACTGGAAGTTGCATGCATAAGGCTATGGTTGGCAAAGATAATGGCCACCTTCTTAAATGGGCAAGCTGAGATATAGGCCTGATATGCTTTCAACATATCAGCAGCAGAAGTCTTTTCAGCAGACAATGCAGTATATATTTGGGTTCCAGTGCCAGCCAGACGTGCTTCAAGGGCATTGGCAAAGCAATGAGCAAGTCTCTGAGACCCGTCACCAAAAGGGGATGAATGCTGCCTGATCTGCTTCAGTAATTCATTAGCAGTCCTTCTGTCATCGCTAGAGATGGATTGTGCACACAGAATCAGCAGTGTCCTCAGATCCACCGCTTCATTATTGTTTCCCTGTGATTTCTTGGCTCGACTCTTCTTTTTACCATTTGATCCATTGGCCAGGCCATTCTGCTTAGAGCATTTCACTTCATTCTCTGGAGCTTCATAGTGAAGGATGCACGATGGCTTCTCGTCCCTCCCATTACAAACTAATAGCTTGTCGAACATCTCAGACAGCTCGGTCTCATCAACCGAAACTGCAGATTGCTTGTTGCTCCTTTCGTCTTCAAAACCGTCATCCTCCCTATCATGGTTCTTCTTTCCCTTCAAATTAGGGGAATAGTCCCGTTCTTCCTTCTCTGCCTTCACAACAACAATTGGTGGCTGTTCCTCCCATTTTGCAGTAAAATTCTTGGACTCCAAATCAATGACCAGTGGGCTAAACTTGGGAAGGAACTTGTTAGCTTCCTCTACCCCTCTTTTGAACTGCAACTCCAAATCACTCCCACTGAAGAAGTTCGGGACCACAAAATTACCAGCATAAGAACTTACCACACCATTTCCATCACCACTGCCATTACCATTACTCATGGTCCCATTTTCCTGTATAGGAGACAGTTGTGAACTCGACATGGAAGGGGACTGGAATACAAAATCAGTAGCTAGAGGCATCTGCATAAACGGAGCTTTTGACTCGCCCACCTCACGATTCCAATGAACATCAGCCGAACTGCCACTATTAGAACCGCTAGACCCACCATAATCACTACCAACACTATAGGAAGATTCATTCTCAGGGCTATCAACTAAAAATTGGTCACCAAATGAAGACGATTGGCCCGGCGAGGGAGGGTATTTCTCACCGATGACGTCATAGAGTGATTTCTCAGCAGCTTGGAGAGCCAGCGGGTCGTGGAACATGCAGGGTTTCTGCTCCATGTCCTCTTCCATAAGCATCTGGTTTATATACTTGAGCACAGTCTCCCCAAAGTCGTTGTCGTCGGTTGGGGAGTCTCCTTCTGTGCTTGTCAAAGGTGAGGGTTGAGTGAAGTTGCTGCCATCCAGATCAGTCAATACCAGTGGGTCGTCCATGAACTTGCGCCCCAATTCCATGGCGGAGGAGGAGGATGTGTTTTCGTTGAATCTAAACCCGTTGGTGGCGGTGTTGGCGTAGTGAGTTAGATCAGGGAAGAGGGTTTGCTCCTGGAAAGTGATCCCATTCGTTGAACCGGAGAATCCAACCAATCGGGAATCCATATCCCACCTCCCGCGGAAAACCCAGATCGAATCTCACTTTACCAAAAGAAGCGGAGAACAACTCGATAAAGAATCCAACTGCCCAAGGAGTTGTGAAGTTAGTAACTTTAGCACCTAAAAGAATCCAAAATGACTCTAATTCAATTAAGCATAGAACATTTCTTCCTAGGCCATCCCAAATTACACCCAATAGTTGGAGCGATTAGAACATGGGGGAAAAGGATGAATCACGACGCAATAACCGTAAAAGGTTCACTGTTCTGATACAAGTGGATCAGAACATAGTTCCTACAAAATGATGGTGAACAGCAAAAGAAAGGAGAAACTTGACGTACCGGGCAAGCAGAGGAGGTGCGGAGTGAGCGAGAATGGTTGCCTTGCCTTGCCAGAGTTAAAAATGACGCGCTTTCTATCTCCTCTTTCTCAATCAGTAGTTGAAAGAAGAAGACGAAGAAGAGAAGGAGAAGAAAGACCGGAGAAAAGAAAGCAAGCAAGCAAGCAAGCAGACTTGTGGGTCAAATAATCAATTGGCAGAGACACAAAAATCAAGGCCAGGAACTGGGAGAGACTAGAGAGGATGGATGGATGGAATGAAATAACGGCTACCGGCCAAAACCAACAGTAGGACCGGCCAGAGCCGGTAAAAAGCCCAGATGCCTCAATCGTTGTGGAATCTTACTGAGTGCGTGGTGGGAACCACAGACGAGCGCGTGGGGTTGGACACTTGGACATGGGAATTTGGCTTTGCTTTTCTTTCTCAAGTCAAAGGTGGTGCCGTTAACCTGGATGCATGCGGTTGTGGCCTTGTGGGCCGGTCCCCAGTTTGATGGGCTGGAAGCCTACGTTGAATGTGTGGATGATACAGAAGAAAAATCCTTGGATGCCACGTAACCTCAACGGGAATAGCAACTACGGTCGGATTTTCACCTTAGATGATAACCAGCGAGCCATTGATCACAAAGATTCAACGTTGTCAACCCGCGGGTTGAACCGGACTCGGTCGAATTAGTGGATCAAGGATTAATGGGTCACCATTTTAACCCGGAAATATAGACTTAGTCATTATACTATACTTATCCTGATAAATTATAGGGTTAATACCCTAGTTTGGCTCGAAGTTTAGCGTTAGTGACAGTTCTGGCCCCATTTTCCAAATAACACATTTATGACCTACTTTTGAAATTATTGGACACATTTGGCCTAAAACTTGTGTTGACACTTATTCCGTTTAGGGATGGCAAAAATATCCGTAACCGTGGATATCCGCCTGAATCCGGCCTAATCGGGTAGGGTAAAACCCGAACCCGAAGGACATTTAGTGGGTATGGGTAAAACCCGAACCCGAATATTGCGGGTAATGGGTGGGCATGAGTTTCACACTATCCAACCCAAACCCGCCCGATTATACACATGCACATGTATTTTGTCTAGAAATAATCATTATTTTTCTCTAACATATTTTATATTTATCATATAAATATAATATTTTCATGAAATTGTGTTGTTTTAATTAATTTTCTTCATTCTCGTGAAGTATTTTCATACTTTTTCTCTTACGTAATGAGAGAATACGTATGAATGTTAACATATTGGTTGGAGTTATGAAGAGAAATTATTACCCATGGATAACCGTGGATATCCGAAACCCGAATGGGTATGGGCATGGTTTTGATTTTCTACCCGTTTCACATGTGGGTATGGGCATGGGTAATACCTGAACTACTTTGGGTAGGGTAACGGATATGCACTATCCGTCCCCGACCCGACCCATTGCCATCCCTAATTCCGTTAGTGAGTCAACAAAAACATGCTGTTGTGGCTAATGCATAGTGCCACGTCATTAAATAATAATATTTTTTAAAGATGATATATTATCAACCCCAAACCCTACTCTTCTCTATCAATTGGTAGCAGAGCCAACATGAGCTCTGCAAGGCTCTCTGATCCTTCTTGGACACGGCTGCTGCAGCGGATTGGCGCTCTCTGCGCCGACCGGGAAGCTTCGGCGTGCGAGGAGGACTGCCTCGAGGAGACAGCTGGCGGGCCGTGCGTGCAGGCGCGGGCGACAACGCCGCGCGGCGGACAGGCGATCGGCGCGGGGGCGACAGCGCCCGGCGGGTCGGCCGCGGCGGGAGAGCAGCGGCGCGCGCCGCGCGCGGGAGCGCTTCTCGGCGGGGGGAGCTCGCCGCCGTGCGAGCACCGAGGCGGCGGGGCGGTGGACCCAGGGGCGGACGGCGAGGGCGGCTACCTGGGATGCTACCTGGGAGGAGACTGCCGCGTTACGACAGCGTTTCCCGACATTTGACCTTGAGGACAAGGTCATTTCTGATGGGGAAGGGGATGATAGAGACCCGCACGGGTAGGGGGGTCGGGTTGGGTTGGCCGACTGGGCCGGGTTGGTTTTGTTTGCTTTATTACTCTGTGTTAGTTCTGAAACTCATAAATAGGTTTCTGCACATTCATTTACGGTTAAGCAATAATAATATCAAAATCCCTAAATCCCTCTTTTCTCTGTTCTTCCCCAATTCTTCTTCCAATCCCTAATTCTTTTCCAATCCCCAATTCTACTTCACAACCCCAAACCCTACTCTTCTCTATCATATTGAGTCTCTAAAACAACCCCTGCTACAAGATCAGTTAAGCCAGTTTGTTGACTCTCCTACTACAGTACATGAACAAGCAACTCATAGATTACTAAGATATCACTCCTGCTCGTGGCTTATTCTTGCCTTCCAATTCTTCTTTTCGTCTCACTGCCTTTTCAGACTCAGATTGGGCTGGATGCCTTGATACTCGTAGATTTGTGACAGGTTTCTGTGTTTTTCTAGGTAACTCTCTCATCAATTGGTGTTCCAAGAAGCAACATGCCATCTCGAGGTCTTCTGCCGAAGCAGAGTACAAAGCCTTAGCAGACACTTCCCAGGAGTTTCAGTGGATGACAGCTCTATTTAGCTAGCTCCCCGTTCAACCTCAACAACCATACACAATCTACTGTGACAACCTTTCTGCAGTCAAGATGACACAAAATCCAGTTCAACATGAAAGAAACCAAGCATATCGAAGTAGATTGTCACTTCACCAGAGATCAAGTGCTTGCTAACAAACTGAAAGTACAACACATTTCCACTACCTTGCAACTAGCAGATCCATTTACCAAAGCTCTCCCAGTTCATACCTTTGTTGAACTCATCTCCAACTAGAGATACGATGTACCAATTTGTAATAGGAATAAGTTTATGTAGGTAGGGTGTAATTAGGATAGGTACAATGAGAGGGCCTTTCTAGCCGGGTACAATGAGAGGGCCTTTCTAGCGACCAAGTGGGCTACCTTATTACTACGCCGACCTACGAATCGAACACGAAAACCAGGATGAAGGGCAAAATCATCAATGATTTCTTCCAGCACCGCCCCCACCTGATTATCCCTGGCATCAGCATGGTTCACTTTGTCTATGACCACCTTCGCATCCGCTTTAAATATAACATTCGTGAAATTGTGCTCCAGACACCACACCAATGCCTCCCGAAGCATAATCGTCTCAACCACAAGCGGGTCATCAATGCAATCAAATTGAACTCCCCTCACCATCAGCACAGCCCTGTCAGGGGACATCAAAACTATCCCACCAGCCGAGTGCGACCCACTCCTAACCGCCCCGTCCCACATGCAAACACACCCAGCCTCCACCTCCGAACCCCGAGTGACGGGCTGATGAACCGAAACTTGAGGAGACTTATCCACCGGCAATCGGATCCACTCCTCATATTGCTGGTGATACTGGCGCATCAGGGCAGGAAACCCAAACTGTTTACCTTCAAAGACCACCCAGTTCCAAGAACGCCATATCCGCCAGAGAACCGCAACCACTGCCATGAATAGCGGAGGCTGGTGAACCAAAGCCAACATCCGCTTAAGGAATGAAGAAACGAGAAGAGAGACTGATGGTTTTTTAAGGACAAAAATGGATCGAGAGAGGAGAGGTTTTGATTCTGATTCTCTTCCCCCATTTCAGAGCAAAAACGAGAGGGAAGGCGGCTGTGGGATCAGGGTTTTGATTTTAGTATATGCTAAGCCTCGATATTGCCATCGCCTTCTGCTATTAAAAAATGAAACGAAAAATAGAAAGTCCTTTCTGGGTTTCGATCCCTTGCCACCCAGCTATGAAACGACATCAGTCAACGCGATCAGCCACTAGGCTGCTTTACTTATATTTGATTTTCCACTTTCCTAATTTCACAAATCATGGTCAATGGATCGTGATAGGCTCCTAACAAAATCATTCCAAAAGTCGTCGATTTCTCAACTCTATCAAATCTTAAACATGAAGCAATAGTACGTGTTTGGGTCTCCTTTTACAAAAGTCATTCAAAATCAACCAAAACATGTGGACTTTGATTCTGACTACTCGGGTACGTAAGCATCTCAAATGGCACCACAATCTTCCATGAAACGGAAGAAGGATCAGCACAACGGCGAGTTGATATGCGAGGGCCAAGTGCCAATCCCTTATTCCTACCCAGGGCCAGGAGAATTGAGTTTTTGCGGCGGAATCGTGTTTTCGAAGATGGAGAAAGAGAAACCTCGGCGACGGCATTTCTACCGGCGGCATGGGATCAGAAACAGGATGAGACAAAAGGGACGATGGTGTAAAAGGGGAAAGTTTTTTAGGCAAAGTAATTTTTAATTAATTTATTATGTGTAAATATTAAATAAATTTAATTAATATATGACGTGTCATTTTTGGCTTATTCGACGCTGACGTGTGCACTAAGTGAGAGCCTAGTCAACGAACCATAAAGAAGTTGATGGTGTTACTAAACACCATTAAAAAATCTAACATAAATGGCTAGATTTCTCTTAGAACAACTACAAAATCTGGCTATAAATGGTATTTCTCCAAAATTGACTATTATTGTAAAAAATGCAAGAGTTTGGTTATACAGATATATTACACCTAATTTTTAATTGAATTGGGTAAGAGAATAATAAAAAAATTGAAATAAATGAGGGGCCTTTGGGTCATTTTTCCAGCCCATTTAACTAGTGATTAATAGATAATTGGACGGAAGAGTATATTTGTTACGTTTTAATAGTAGAAGGGGAAAAATTCTTAGCTCCAACCTTGGTTGGACGCAGAAGCTCCAACCATCCAAGGTGTCGGTTTGTTATTGGTGGATTAACCTTCCTTTTTTCTAATATTTAATTATGCTAAGTAAATGAAGAATTAAGATATTAAAAAATGATGAAATCACCAATATAAAAGTGATACGTGGTTGGTTGGAGCTTCTGCGTCCAACCAAGATTGGAGCTAAGAATTTTCCGTAGAAGGGTATGCCGGGGAAAAAGGACAGCAATGAATGATTGGGGATTGGTTTAATGGAGGGGTTAATTGGGATGATTTGGTGGAGTTGGGTTTTCTTTTCATTGCTTAGATTTGTTTCTCTCTTCCTCTTCCGGTCGATTTGGGCTAGAATTACTATTCTTCTCCTTCTCTGTTTCAATGAAGAACTTCCCCTATTTTGTCTACCCATGAAACCCAATTGGATTTCCACCGCCAGACTACTGCATACTACTATCCTTGTACCACATATTAATCACCCAATGAGTCAATTATACCGGTCACAGGAGCAAGAAAGAAGGAGCTTGAATATGTCCTAATCACTCAGGGCACGGAGAAATTTTTCAGAATTTTTTAATGAATGGTTCTCAATTCTCATATAAATTTTTGTTAAACCGGTAATATATACGGATAATATTATAGTTGAACCATTTCACTTGCGAAACTGGCACACCAGCATAAACCGATTTAACAACCTTGATTGTCATATCCTCTTTTTAAATTGTATGATTCACGAAATATGACTACAATGTTTACTTTCCACAAATCGAACCCCAAATTCGGTTCACCCAACCGTCATGGCCCGCACTAAAATCTTGACACCCTAACAGCAGATACCTATCTCTAGACAAATTACTTATACAGACGTCATGAAAATGAATTTTTTGTTCTTAAATAGATTAATTGACTTTGCTACATATTTTTCTGATTTCTCCCTGCGATCCCGTTTTGACCTCGATATTCCCCATTCTAACCATCGCCTCAGCAAAATCCGCCCCAAACGACGTCGTCGTCTTCTTTACGCTTCCTCCGACGTAGGACTCCAGCACTTGCTTGGCTCCCCGATCGTCCACCAGCCGCGCGTCCGACGCCAGGACGGCGGACCCGTTCAGGATGTTGCCAAGGATGTGGTCGTCGAAAGCGAACTCCGACGACCAGTCGAGAGCCAGCCTGTCGTTGACGTTGCCGCCGGGAGGACACTTCGATTTAAGCTGCGGCAGGAACTGTGGATTTAGGGCCGGGTCGGAATCGCTCCGGCCGGTGAAGTTGTAGAGCCTTTTGGGCATGAAGAAGCACGCCGTCGTCCCAATTGTGTGCCCACCTGAAATAATGTGCGACACACTAGATTTAGCATGCTGAGAAGTGAGGAGAGTATCCACGCCGTTGAATCAACCCGACGACATAATTTGGATTAGGGATGACAAAAGATCAAATATTTGTGTATTTTCCAAATCAAACTTATTATAGGTCGAATTAAGTTCGGATAATTTTATTTTGAACTTTCCTATAGACTAAAAGATCAAATATTTGTGTATTGTTCAAACCAAATTTATTATAGGTCGAATTAAGTTTGGATAATTTTAATTTTGAACATTCGTTTAGTCAATTTTTTTTAGTTTAGGTTAAAATTGAACTCATAGTATTGGACGTCCAAATGAAAGATAGCTACCCAATTATAGTGCAATTTTTGTCTTATTTTTTGTTATGAAAAAAGGTGGAATCACCTACATTAAAGATTTATAATTGGGTTGGATTGAATTGAATGTAGTTAATGAAATATAACATATTTTTTTATAGACCTAATTAGACCCAGTTGAATCTAACCCAAATAAATTGACTCAAATAGAACCGAATTCAAGCTCAACCCAAACTCAAAATCATTAAAAAATTCATATGGCTCGAGTAAATACCCATATGGATTATAACAATTGGGTCAATTATCCAATAAGTCTACTCATTAACATTTCTAATTTTGACTATTGTTATTCTCTAATCCAACGCCCAGCAACATGTAGGAGTATAGCGAACAAGAACAAAGGGGTCGTTTGGAAGTTGCGATAGTTTTGTTGAAATTGTCATTATGCATGTATTGTTTACAATGCATCGTTTTTTTGTTTTTTTTAGCAGAAACAATACATGGATTGTTTCTGTGATGTGACAAAAACTATCACTCATTTTAAGTGATTGTTATATCTCAACTTTCAGTTGTGATTGTTGAGATAGTTGAGTTGAGATTGTTTTGTCTCAGTTTTTAGCTAATGCGACATATACAATCACACATACCAAACGTTGTATTCTACAATGCATCAAATTCGACAATACATGTATAATATTATACATGCATTCTCAACAATACATCTATTTAACAATCGCAACTTCCAAACAACCCAAAGAAAAACAAACCCATGGGTGATTGCCAGTGGCGGATCCAGGAATTCAGCGTAGGGGTGTCCTCTGTAAAAAATTAAATTAAATTAAATATTAGAATTAAATTAAATAATTATTAAATATGAAAATATCTAACTAATAAAAGTTTCATTAAAAGTTCAGACGTGTTTCATCAAATGATAAAATGAATTCGGTGTTTATACTGCTCAACAAATATTTCTCGACATATCTTAGTAGACAAGAATATCCCGTAATTGAGTTTAATCGTTGGATTTTGAAAATAATTTGAAATAAGAATAACATTTTACTATTATATTTGGATCTAAAACACAATAACAAATGAGTTGTAGCATAATTGAAAATATATTAACTAATAGTGGCAGTGTCCCAAATTTAAATCACATAAACTACTACTTAAATATTATTTATACCAATACGCAAACTACTACGGGAGATTGGATAATCATTTTCCCAAATTTTAAAGGTGTCCCACACTACCACTTAAACATTTTTTTTTTATACGTAAATTACTATCGTAGGTTGAATAATCGTGTTTCCAAATTTTAGGGGTGTCCCGGGACACCCCTAACCATGCATGTATCCGCCACTGGTGATTACCTCCAGCGTCGACTTAGCTAAAATACGACTTATAATCGTTAGGCCAATTTCGTATACCTGCGCTGAGAAGGACGAAATCCTTGATGGACACTCCCTTGGCACGGAATTTCGATGTGAGAACTTCAATTGGGTCATTGACATCTGGCAAATTGTTGGCGAGGCTCCGGCTGGAAACTCTGCCGTCCCTTCTCCCCGTCGGCACGTCATAGTTCGGTCCGTTGCTCTGTCATTTTTTAAAAATCAATCGGCCTACATTTATTATGATTAATTACCATTCAGATTTTCAGAACCAGAAAGGGAGAAAAAGATGAAGGATTGAGAGTACCAAGGCAACAGCATCTCTGGCAGCTAAAGCCAGAATGTCCGCGCAAGAGACGACACCCGGGCAGAGCGACTCCAGCCGCGATTTGGCCGTTTCAATCACATTGAAACCGCCGAGCCCTGCATTCCCCGGCGCCTGCCTCTCGCCGTCGCCGGTCTCCAGCAGAATCGACCCATCACATCCCTGCCAGAAATTTCCAAAACCGAAGAAGAACCCATCACTCAGAATTGGAAAAGAAATTAACTTTGTTGTTCAGTTAGACGAATGAACAAACCTCGACGAAGCAATCGTGGAAGGAGAGGCGGAGCAATCGGGCGGCGGCGGACTTGTCAGCTTCCACTGCTTGTTTGACCGCGACGCGGACTGTAACTTCGGCGACAGGGCAGCTCTGGGAGTAGAATCCCAATTGGAGCTGCTGCTGCTGCCCAGTGGAGGCAACGATTAGTAACAGAATCAGGTGAAAGATCGAGAGAACAGAGGTATGGAGTCTGAAACAGAGCATTTTGTGATCGATGAAGAAATGTGTGGGAAAGGGGAAAGTGGGATGGAGGAATATTCTGACTTTGTAACGGCTTAAATTAGAGGGAGACGAATGCTGATGATGATGGTGGTGGTGGCGGTGATGACTTTTTACGGGTACAGGGAAATCGATGTGGCAATAAGAAATGTGCATGCCGTTTGTTTTTGCTCTTCTCTGCCACCATGTGTCCAATTGGTTTTGTCTTCTCTGCTTTCATTGAACCAACTATGGTAAGGATCTCACTCTGTTCTGTGTTAAATGTGTAGTGTTTCTTAGTTACCGCCCCCAGCTGAAGGTTTAGGATTTCGTCACGCAAGGGGATTGTTACGTTGTGGAGGACTCTGTCCGAATGCTCGGCGAATCAAGTTCAATGGATCTTGGTAAAATTGTTAATCTCTTAAGGGCATTCAAGGTCTTACTTTTCAAAGAGTGAAATGATCTTTGATGTCTAGATATGTGAATCTATCATTAAACTAGCAGCGGTAATTAAAGTTGTATCAGGAGAGTTTTCCAGAGAGATGTCAAGAAAGAACAAAATAAGTAGATAAAACAACCCAAACGTCCTTATGCTTGAAGACCTCGCTATTACAACAACCAGACTTCTAAAACTTATGGACGCTAGCTCTACAGAAGATAATGAAAGGACTTTACGTGCTACTCTAACGGCAGTTCAGTTAACGACTTGAGAAACAACTCTAAAAACTATAGCGAAGGGGAAGGAGGACCTTAGGTGAAGATAATCGCGCAAGAGGAGGCCATCTAAAACATCAGACGGAATAACTTTCTTGAGTTGATGATGACTATTTCAGAGTCGTCTTCAATTACCACCTTGGCAATTTGGCGAGCCGTTGCTAGGAAAATGATTGTCCGGACTACAAGAAGCTCTGTAGCATAGTGATCTATGATCCCACGGTGAAGAAATCTTTTATCAAAAGTAAAAATTCACCAGAGTCTCGAATAAGCATCATGTCGAACAACGACATCAAAATTAATATTCATAACCTTGTCGGCGGAGGTCACCAAACAGGTTGGGGGAGGACAGTTGAAAGGAAGAGGGGAGGAGAGGAAGAAGGATGAAAATTCTCGGACTTAAAAGGAATATTGAGGAGCAAGAATTTTGGGTGTAATTGAGTGAGCTAAAAATTTGCTATGTTGCGAGATTTCCAAATCCTCCATAAGAGGCACACACATCGGAGAACTTGCATTTGCGAGTGATCAGAGTGCAGGAAGCGATGCCACCAGAAACTGAATTTGGAACTCAAGATCGATTGAATTAGTTTTTCCAGACCCAATAAAGACCAGAGATTGTTCGCTAGGGGGACATATAAATACATGATGTTCGATGGTCTTGCGGTGTTTCCGACATACATGGTAATTAACTCCACGAGTTCTAAGTGCATGGAGAGTGAGAATGATTACCCTTAGACATTGCTAAATGAAAAAGTGCAGTTCGAGATGGATCTTTAGACGAATGATTAATAGAGCACTACTACTATGCTATATAGTATTGGTGCTTTAATGTACAACTTGAAGTTGTACCATAACATTAAATGTATAAGTTTAGGTTGTACCATAAAGAAATTTGTATCATTATGTTATGGTACAACTTTACAACTTGAAGTTGTACCATCACATAAAGGTACAAGTTCAAGTTGTACCATAAAAGAATTTGTACAAAAAGTATAGGTACAATCTGAAGTTGTACCATAACGTTAAAGGTACAATTTCAAGTTGTACCATAAAGACAAAAACATATAGCACCAATACTATATAGCATTGTAAAATTCCTCTGATTAATAAATGTCATCAACTACTTACCTAATTAATTTATTAACCTCTATACACCTAAAAACCACTAGGCATGAAAAGGTGACCGATCAAACTAGCCTGGCCAAAAATTCTGGCCAACGACGACTTGATCGAACAGAAAAATAAACCTCGCCGAGCAGAAGAAATTCCATGGTCGGTAATCATACCCAGCTGAAAAACCGTTCGGCCCTGTTTGGTTTATGCCGTTGGAATCCTTCTGGCCCGACAAACTTCCCGAGGTTGGAAAGTTTCGGCCCAGCCTGAGCCTGGTTTCGAACTACCCAGAATTTTTGGCTTGGTCAGGTCGCCGCCGGCTAAACTTTTCCGCGCTACGACCAGTTTTGAAGAAATTTTTCCAGCGAACATTAGATTTTTAAAATTTTGGAAGATGGGGGAGTTGGAGATGTGCTGGAAGTTGTGATAAACACAGTTGCGGAAGCTGCAGTGAAATGAAACTGAGGTAGGGATAAATTGTAAGGTTTGCGTCAAATAGTATGCTGCAAAATAGTGGTTTGAAATATCATGTCTTCTAAATAAATTAAAGCATTAGTGTTCACTTTCATTTCTCTTGTTTCGCGTGAGTACCAGGACAAAGATAAAGTGTGACATAAGAGACACCGTGGGACAGAATACTGAAATTGTGAAAATTATAGGCAAACATATATGGGTAAAAGCTAACAATAATGAAGCATCCGATCATTGTATAAGAGGGGAAGTAGTAGGTGGAAGTGTAATTACCCAAACAGGAAAAAGTTCACGAAATACCTAGCACCCGATCAATTAATAATCAACAATAACAGAACCATTATGGTTCCTCCGACAGCTAAAATCAGCATGTCCTTTGGGCGAAGGAGGGTTCGACCGGCTGCCGCTGGACTGGTCGTCGGAGTTCAAGTTCGACGACGGCAGCCTTCGGAACATATCGTCAACGGGTCCGCTGTGCCCGTGCTCTGCACGCCTCGCCGTGACACCCGACGTGCTCTGTGTCCTATGCTGGGCCGGCACGTGGTCATCAGACCGATTTTGGGCCGGACTTCGCAGCATCTAATGGTCGAATTGGGCTTGGTGGATGTTAAAACGGGCCGCGCAGGAGAAATACGAAGGAAATGCGGCCAGGTTAGTAACCTGGCCGCATTTCCGTCGTATTTCTCCTGCGCGGCTCGTTTTAACGCCCACCGAGCCCGATTTTGACCATGGATGCTGCGAAGTCCGGCCCAAAAACCGTCTGATGACCACGTGCCGGCCCAACATAGGACAGTAGAGCCCGTCGGGTGTCCGAGGCGAGCACAGCGGACCCGTTGACCATGTTTCGGAGGCTCCGGTCGTCGAACGTATCGTGAAGTCCGACGACAAGTCCAGCGGCAGCCTGTCGAACATTCTCCGGCCCAAAGTGGCATGCTGATTTTAGCTGTCAGAGGAAGCGGGAATTTATGGCCGGCCGGGTCGCTGTCCCGACTTCCCTGTGAAATTGAACAGAAATTGTAGAACTCGACCTGGAGTCCATTTCCAGTAGCGTTGTTGAAGAGGTTTGAGGTCACCATGATGAGCACAAGAACAAGGAAGGAAGAAGCCAGGCTAGAGAATTTGAGATTTACGGTGATAAAAACTATAAACTAGGAGAAGAAGCTAGATGGATTGTACGTGGTGGTGAACTTTTTTTCACCGCGGTTCGCCCTCTTTAAATAGAGCGGAGATTGGGTTAATTACCAAAGCATCACCATATTAGAAGAAAGTGCTGGAAAGGTGCACTGAATTTGTGTTTACATCAACTAAGTGCAGCTTTGTGCAGGAAATATATAGTCTCCTGGCTTGTGTTCCATTTTATAACCTTTCTTTGATGGTTTCCCTGTTTTCCTACTTTCCCTGATCTCTCTTTTTTCCCATTTTTACATTAGCAGTTTCACATGGGTTTTCTTAAAGTACAACATATATATACTTACTGTTTTCTATATATCCTTTCTAATTAAGTCTCGTAGATATGATTAGGTGATGGATTTTTTGGGGATGCATTAATACATGCACATGGCCGATCATATACCCCTTGCTGTAAATATATTATCTTTGGTGTAGGTTATGCTTTTCTCGATCTGGCACAAAAAGTTTCTTTTACCAAAACAATTGGAGACAACGTATGTAACTTCTAACTTTACTTTGAAGAACAAAGTTTGCATGTATATATGATTAAAGAAACCGCGAAGCCTTGCTTGATCATTGCATGCCCTAATGCCGTCATTGCTTTTTTAATTACATTGCATAGTCAATAGGACCTCAGAATACACTGCATCTCAACGTTCCCAAATAAGACAATTATTATTATTATTATTATTATCATCATCATCATCATCATCATCATCATCATCATATTAAAAGAACAAGTAAAGATGGCGCTATTACTTAGAGTCACATCAGACATGTGATCCTTTTGTAATTAGTCAAAACTTGGAAGGATTTAAATGCCATTGAAGTTCTAATTAATTAGTTTATGACAATTGAGTCCAAGTTTGTTAATTACTATTTCATAGTCACATCAACTAGGATTGTTTTAATGTTAAAATTTTTATTAATTAATCAAATGTTCTAAATATTTTCTCTTATGACAATTGAACCCAAATTCAGCTAATTCGACCCGGTATCGGTGTTGTCGGATTTTAGGTTGGGAACAAATTTTACCCGCTTTTGTAATAACTGAACTGGGTCATTAATCAAATGTTTAAAATATTTCCTCTTATTATAATTGAACCTAAATTCATATGTGTTCAAGATAATCCGAACCGATATCAGTGTTGCCAAATTTTAGGCCGGGAATAAATTTTACCCGTTTTTGGAATTAACGAGTTGGGTCATTAATAAAATATTTTAAATATTTTCTCTTATGACAATTGAACTCAAATTCATGTGTGTTCAAACTAATTCGACCCGGTATCGGTGTTGTCGAATTTTAGGACGGGAACAAATTTTACCCGTTTTTGTAATAACCGAACTAGGTCATTAATCAAGTGTTTAAAATATTTCCTCTTATAAAAATTGAATCCAAATTCATGTGTGTTCAAGATAATCCGACCCGGTATCGGTGTTGCCGAATTTTAGGCCGGGAACAAATTTTACCCGCTTCTGTAATTGACGAATTGGGCCGGGTGTGGATTTTGTTAAAAACTCGTCCTGATTTATCGAGTTGACTCGACAAATTTTTGGTCGAGGAGGAGTTTTACCCTTGACACTTTGGGGCCGTGAATGTATTTATCCCCTTTTGTAATCACTGAATTGGGTCGAAAACGCATTTTACCCGCTTTTTCCGACCATATATCACTGAATAGCGAGCGTTCATGTTATCTCAAATCACATTTCACAGAAAGTGATTATCCCGTCGCGAAGCGCAGGCTTCCATTCTAGTATTAATAAAGAACCGTGTTTTAATTTGACATATGCCTAAGGACCAACCTATGATCGGAGAGAGACCTATTTAAGAAATCTCATTAATAAAGGGCAACATCTTGGTAAAAGTAAAGCATGCCTCCCCAAGAAACTTCTTAAAGAAATACAGAAAGTGTGTTTAGACTTTATATTGGCATGGAGAGGGGCTAGGAAGAAGGCAGGCTCGAGAATTTGAGATTCATGGTGATAAATAAAGCTATAAACTAGGAGAAGAAGCTAGATGGATTGTGGTGAACTTTTTTCACCGCGGTTCGCCCTCTCAGTTATATAGAGCAGATATTGGGTTCTATAACCAAAGCATCACTGAATTTGTTTTTACATCAACTAAGTGCAGCTGTGCAGGAAATAATAGTCTCCTGGCTTGTGTTCTATTTTTAACCTTTCTTTGTTGGTTTCCCCTCTTTTCCTACTTTCTCTTATCTCTCTTTTTTTCCATTTTTACATTAGCAGTTGCACATGGGTTTTCTTAATGTACAAACATATATTTATACTGTTTACAATATAAATAATTACTTCTTTTGTGACGATACAAAATGAACTCATTAGCTTAGACTTGTAGCCTCCATAATTTCTCTGGAACAGTATCCTTCCTAATTAAGTCCGTTGATATGAATAGCTGATGGGTTTTTTGGGGATGCATTAACACATGCACATGGCCGATCAAATACTGCTTGCTGTAAATATTTTATCTTTGCTGTAGCTTATGCTTTTCTCTGGCACAAAAAGTTTCTTTTACCAAAAGAATTGGAGGTAACAATAAAGAACCGGCGAAGCTTTGCTTGATCATTGCATGCCTCTGCAAATTCCAACAGCCGATTGTACTAATAGTCTAGGACCTCAGAAGTCAGAACACTGCATCTCAACGTTGCCCAAATAAGACAATATTAATAAAGAAACCGTGTTTTTACATAATGACAAGGACAGACCTATTTAAGGAATCTCATTAATATAAAGGGCAACATCTTAGTAAAAGTAAAGCATGCTCTATAGTAAGAATAATACTGCACCTTATTCACGAGAATTTTATTTTCTCTAATTCCTTCGTCTCAAGTCACTTCCTAGAAGATGAGATCCGTCGAGAAGAGTGTTTTAGAGGTGTATACTGTATACATAATTCGTTTTCGTCGTTTATTGGCCTTAATGTTGGAACTAAGATGTAGCGGATATTCTCATCTCCATATTAATTACTATGTACTATGGTATAATTAGGTGAATCCCATGGAGTTATGTAGATATAATTACCACTTCTACATCTACACAATTTGCAATGGAAATTCAAGTATTTGATTTTCTCCCGCCTTATTTCCCCCTCGTTAATAGAAAAAGAGTTATATCATTGTTTGATTCAACTCAAATTTAAATTCAACAAGATCTACAAGATGATATCCACTTTGAAATATTTTAAAAACAAAACATTAATGATGTCATCATAGTATCGTCAATATTCTTTTTGTTTTATTATGATATTATTTACGTTATCACCCAGTCAAGAAATATATCATAGTGTTAAAAAAAATTATAGTGATTTTTTTAGGTTATACCACATAATATATTTTGTACTTCATCGCCATAAACACGTCTCCAAGTCCAAAGTGACAATTTAATTTTGAAAAAACAAAAGATACAAATAGATATCGTTCATACATCACACTAAATCTGATTTTTCTACGCAAATAATTATAAAAATTCCACAAGAAAATTTGATAAATGTGAAGGGAGAGGTTGTGGGTTAAAATAAATGAACTGGATTCAACTTAAATTTTGATTATAAAAGAAAACTTGTGGATGTGAATTTTGAAATATCATCTAAGAAATTTTTGTAATTGGTTCAGGTTTTGGGTGTTTCAACTTGGAAAATCTGCATTTGATTAATTGGATCCACAAACTTGGGTCTTTTAATGTAGATCGGATAACCACTGCTTCGCTGATTATTTTGAGACCTAACAAATAGGTGGATGGATCATGGAGTTACCAAAGAGTAATAGAGAGAATGAATGAGTAAAGTATATTGTGAATATGTAATTTTATATTTGGCTATCATCCTTTTAGAAAGTCTCCGTAATAATGTGTTAAACTCTATATGCTTTAAATATTGTTATTGTGGTGTGATGATCACATTTCAGGTTAGATATGAGTAGAGAAGATTTGTTGGAAATGTGTATGAATAGCTTTGAAAGCTATAGAGTTTCAAGTGGAAAAACTACCACATTGGTAGTTTTACTTGGTGAAATGAGTATAAAGATAGGAGCCTCTCTCCTAAGGGCATGCCCCTTGGGGTGACCCACTTTTGTGGGAGAGGGAGGACCTAATGGACCACCACACACGCGCGCGCGCCGTCCGACCGATCAATCGGTTGGTTGGTTCACTTGAGACTATATACATATTTTTTGGAGAAATTCCGAACGAAATTAATTATATAATAATTAATTATTAATCGGTTATTCTGAGGAATATTCCAAGGGATAATCGATTGAAAAGGAATATTCGAAGGATAATCTCCGCAGGATTTATCCTAACCGACGGTTTTAATTAAGGAAGTAATTATCTTCCTTAATTAACCCGACTTATTCCCCAAGCAAGAGGGTATATTCCTAGGGGTTCGGCTCCTATAAATAGCCGCCTCCCCAGCCCCTCTAAACACACCACAACGAGCATAAACACAATAGAGAGAGTGTTCGGAGAGCTCCGATTTTCGCACAAAACCACGAGTACACAGAGGAGCTGTTTTATCCTGGAGACGACCGGTTGATAGTCTGCCGTGCGCATCGAGGGCAGTGCCGCGAACGTCTTAAAGAGAGCGACCTAGTCCGCGACTCAGCTCCAGATTCGGTATCCTCGGTCTTGTTGTTGTTCCGTTTCTAACAATTTTAAGACGTTCGGCTGCTGCTATGTCGACTAAACAGAACAACATGGCCGGATCTGGTGCTGTCGATATCAATCGACCGTTTAGCTTCGTTGGAGTCAACTTTCGTCGCTGGAAACAAAAGATGGAGTTTTACCTGACGACCAAGAAGTTGGCACACTGCCTCACTAGCATGCCCGTCGAGCTGCCGGAAGAAGCGACCGATGAGGAGAGGACTGCTTCTGTTAAGGAAATGGAGCATGACTT